GGATGAGATCTGGCTCTCAGAACATTCGAAAGAAGTGGTGGCGACAAGTCAGGATTGTTCTTGCTATTGATGCGGCTGTTTGTTTGTTATTGTTCGTGATTTGGTTGTCAATCTGTAAGGGCATTCATTGCACCCGTTCGTGATTCCAAATCAATGCCACAAATGAAGTTTCATGTTAAGCACTGGACATAAAAATTCTGTAAGAATAGGTTTCAGCAGAGAGAGAATGGTTGAAAGCAATCTATCAATCTTGTTAGTGGGTTAAAAAATCACTTTGAAGGTATGTGTTTCAAATTACTCATGCAGTGGCATTAGATGTAGAGAGTCCTCTGTATAGTTTCATAGTTTTAATGCATATGTACATCAAAATCATATTGTTTATCTGAGTGTTTTTTACACCATTTTCTGCTTCAGTGTAATATTTATAGTTGCCGATGCAAATAAGATGTTCTCATGACATCTTAAATCTTAATTCTTTTTTTTTTTCCATTTTATATTTCAAAGATATGAAAAGGCGCCATTGCCACCTTTTGCTTAGTATAATTGAGATGCTATCTTAAATTCTTGTTCTTCTAGTTCCACTCTATGTTTGAAAATTGTCAACTGAAGCCTTGAAGTTTGTGTACCTTTCTCTTGACTAAGTTCACGCCAGTGTTTTATTTGCTTTTCTTGAGTGATCACAAGATAATTGTGGCTCTGCATAACATACATTTTCTTGTTCTATAACATGCATCTCCATGTAGCTTGTTAACCCACCAAATGATCTTTTATTGTACCCCTAAACAAACTTTATGGAGTAATCCGCCGAAAGCGGGAATTATTGTTCTCAATGAATGAATCTACTTTACATTTAAGTTGATACTTGATTTTAAGGATTGGATTCAGAAAACTCAGATAATGAGCTTGGAATGAGAATATTCTATAGTCGAAAGCATGCTCTTTGGGGAGGACACTGAGATGTATAGAAATTTTAGGAATTGGATGCAAGCATCTAACACATCCAAGGCATATTTTGCTAATCAAGGTTAGTCCATTTCAGTGAATTGAGAATTAATCTAATGAGGAGATAACTTATTATTTAAACATTGCTTGTTTAAATAGAGGACTGTCTCTTTCTAAGCTTTGTGTCAAAAGAAACCTTGATAAAGTGTTTGAGAGCCTACACAGCACATTATAGAATTTAGAAGTTAGAACCCTGTTGAATGCTGAACCTGCAATAATGTTAATGCTATGCTGTTCCCTGAGCTGAACCTGTCTAAACTAAGGGTACTTCCGTTTCCTCTTTATTCCATCTTTATTTTGGAAAGCAGTAACTTTTCATCTTAATATTGAAGTTAAGAATATAGACAAGGATTAGACCAAAGCTTGTTTCTATTTTTCATCCACAATTATTATGGCAAACAAGAAGATTAAAAAATAAAAAATACTAATGTGGAAAGTATTATCGACAAAAAAAGTTTACAATATCATCAAAGAATTCAAAATTATAGCATACAATATCAATCTCCTAACCCCAAGCCCCCTACATCCTTTGCATGATCCCCCTTAAACATGGATACAGAAGCAACACATTATTACATGAGATTCAACATGGTAGTTATTCCTTGAAATTACAAGGAATAACATTATTGTCAATTGTGCTGTCATTTAAAAATCAAGCATATTCTTAAAGAGTAACGAGAATGCAGAAGCAAATGATAAAGAGAAGACGTAAGGAGAAAGTTAGCACCAAAATGATTGGTTCTTCACAACAACTCTGTTTTTCCCCTCCATAACGCTTCCCTTGTAATCTAGTGTCCATTTCTCGAAAGTACAGTCAACAAAGTCATAGTAGCCACCATGCAGAGAAAGCTCCCCTTTCTTCACTTTTTCTTCTATCCATGGATATGTAAGCAGGTTTAACAGTGAACAGTTAATCGATTCCTGAAAACAAGAATATCATCAAGCTATCATTTTATTTTACATTTTGAGCTACTTCTAAATATTTCCCTTCTCCAGCAACAATTTTACCCCATTTCCAGCAACAAGGGCAACATTTGTAACAGGCATGAAACCCCAGAGCAGAATATTTATGTTGGACGAAACACTCTCATAGGAATCGAAAAGACTAAACTCCAAAAGAGAGAGAGAGAGAGAGTACTTTCTCACAATGCGTGCATTGCTGGTCAAAACTGAGGTTGGAAGCTGCAGCCTTTGTACTTAGCTTGGCGTTCTTTCCGACAATGACCCAACTTCTGATAAAGCTACTGAAATAAGACAGTTTATCCAAGTAAGCAATGCATACACAATTACTCATTTTCTTATGCGAAGATGCTGATGATAGAATAAAATGCTTTAAAAAACTGCGTTTTTAGCTAAACCTTGAATCTACTTCATCTTGCATACTCATGAGTGCACGAATGCCACCACAGCAGCTATGACCAATGATTAAAATGTTTTCAACCTGAAAAAGAAATTGCATTAAAAGTCATACACACTTCCTGAAACGGTAGCATAACAGGGCAATATAAGATTATAATTTCTCAAAAAAAATGGGGAAAGAGTGAGAGAGGTAGGAGTGACTTACTTCAAGCGAATTTACAGCAAATTCAAGTGCAGCATTAGTCTCCGACGGCCCACTCTGCACAAACAGTATCAGTTCCTAAGTGCAGGCTTTGTAGCATTGAAAAAGCAAACATAAACCTCAGTTAAATAAAAGCATAGCAATATATACCTCATATGTGGGCACCATATTCGCAACATTGCGAACCATGAAGGCTTCTCCTGGTTGAAATCCCAAGATGTTTGAGGGACATACCCTAGAGTCTGCACATGCAATTACCATAAACTGTTCTTGATATTGTTAGTACAATCATCATCCTACCCCACATTTCAAAGAACTAAATTTTAAGGAAAATCCAAAAGACTACATGAATACATCATTACTTTAGGAGCTTGAGCCTTGGAAAGTGCTTGAAAGTGTTCCAAGTTTTCCCTGCTCAAACATGAATATTGGATCAAAGGACAGACCATTTCTAATTCAAGCTAAAACACCTTGGCCAAGATTTTGCAGCTTACATGTATTTATGCTTTTTGAAACTCAGGAAATTATTCTTCATTTCATTAAACAAATCACATCCATTTCCCATTTCCATTATGCTTTCCTGCTTGTCACTTTTAGGCTCCCGTGTCAGTGCTGGAGGCTCTGCTGAAGCTTTCAATTTCACACCTGAGTTGCTCCTACAAACGTCAGAGAAAGACATTTGTGGCGGCATAAAATAGATTTATCAGTCAAACTGAATCCAAGAAACTACATTGCAGGTGAGTTAAAACCAAATTGAAAATAAGCTTATCTCTTAGGGTCAACCCAGAAACTTGAATTGTAGTCGTAATCTTAAATTGTATAACTTCTCCTATAACAAATCATCAAACAAGATTAATCAGAGCTTGAAACTCACAAAAGATCTTTAGCAAATTCCCACTATTTTAATTTCCTTACATGAAGAATAAACAAATGGTTGTGGCTAAAGGGACCACATATCAGATCCACAATTTTAGATCAGTTGAAGCCTTATTAACGCCATAGAGCAATAGTAAAAATGCAAAAGGTTTCTGCAGTAACAGATTTAAGTCATTCAAAAGTACTCCTGATTCTTTTCCCAGAAAAGGAAAAGAATAAAAGTTTTGCCTTATACAGACATCCCTGCATGTATTTTCAATCTAGAAAGACTTAATAAACTACTTTCTTTTCTTTCTTCGAATCGTGTTTTCCCTTTCTGCTAGACTTAGTTACTTAATATCAATATCTTACCTGCAACGGTATGAAGTTATGAACATAGAAAAAGTTTAAACATTTGGAGATATAGCTCTCCAAGAAACCACCTAAAGAAAAGATAAAAAAAAAAAAACAAATCTGCGATTTTTAAGAGTTGTAAAACTGATTAAACAGTCCCTTACCTGAAACAAGTCCACAGTCTCAACTGGGTCTGCTGAATTTCCAGACTTTTGACCCTGGAACCAAAGATCCGCTGCAGAACCAGCAAACCCACATTCAAAATAAAGCATAAAATCATGCACATAGAGTAATAAATGAAAAAGGAGAGAGGGGGGGAAGGAGTTTACCGTTAATGCTCCATTTGATAAAGGGTCCTTTGAAAGAGAGGTAGGTGCAAGAGCTGCCATTGGATGGATCTAAAAATAATAGGTCAGAGACTCTCCGGAGTAAAGGAGCAGAGTTGTTTTTGGTGTGCTGATAGAAATGCAGAAGGAAAGGAGTGGTGAAGAATTAGGAGAGGCATTCAAGGTCTATATTAATAAAGGAAAGGGAAAGCCTTTAAAAAGTGGTTGTGCGTTGGTTGGATCGAGCAACGTACACTTGTTCTGTTGTTCAGTTGCTCTGTCCTCCAAGAAAGGCGGAGAAAACTATGTCTAATGTAATAAATTTATTAAAGGGCCGACGGATTGCTGTTGGGCCTTTCCCCATCTGGAACCCTGCCTGCCTGCCTGCCATTTTGTATTTTCGCCCCCCTGAAACTTTGGATGATCAATAAACAAAGAATTCTCTAGAATTGCACCTGCTCTTTAAAGGTGTGCAAATACATACAAATCGAACCTAAAACCTAAAATGAATCGAAGTCGTTTGACTCTTAGTTGTAATAAGATTCGGTTCAAAATAAAAAAATTTTTAATTAAACTAACTGAACTTGAATAAAGATATAATGTGATTTTCACATAAAAATAAATTATAAATTATTTATTTTTATTTTTATTCACATTTTTAATTATTTATTATTTACATGAATATCCATTTTATTTATTTTAATTGTATATCATCATTTTTAATTTTTTATAATATTAATTTATAAAAAATGTAATATAAATAAATATATAAAAAGATTTTAAATTTGAGTTTTAAATACCAAATCGAACTAGAACTAATTCGATTTTGATTAATTTAATTTAATTTTAATTATTTTTAAATATTAATTTAATTATTAAATATTTAAAATTAAATTAATCGAAATAATCGTTTGATATGTTCTACTGCTCACTTTACAAAATTACAGATCGATTACACAATCGTACGTTATAAAGCACAGAATTTGGGGTTCCGTTGATTGGACTGATGACAGAAAAGACGATGGGCAACACCTAGGCCACAGCCCTGGCCTAATCTACATGCCTTACTGGTCCTTGCACAAAATATATAAAGAAATAAAACACCTTGTTCCTGTGATAATATAAAAAGAAAAGAAAACTTTACAGGTAAACTTGGTTACGGATGCAATGCAAGGGAGAGACAGCCGATACTGACGACGCAGAAACCTGTCAAGGAAATTATACCTACGTTGATTGAACGCATCGCACTTGTATGCCTACCACCACAGACTGATTGAATAATACATAACAATTTATTCATATCTGATGTGATTGGACTAGACATAATATTCAATTAGAAAAATAAAATAATAATGAAAAGAAGAGGGCAGGGGGCTGGCAGAATACAAAAACATTGGACAGCAAAAAACGAAGCCTAACAAACAAGAAAACAAGGTCGACACTCAACACGACACACCCTTATTCCATCCAGTGGCATGCCAGGGTAGAACACTGATTGCTGAGTGCTGCATCCACGTTTAGGCAAAGCATTAGCATCGTCTTGAACCTCTTAAACCACGTGTCGAAGGGATTTCAAAGGCAGAAATCTTCCTACCACGCATATATTGCAAGCTTCCAGCCAGATGTCACCGGCACTTGGATTTCCTAGCTCATTAGTCATTCTCAGCATTTGCAGAGAGACAAAGTTGAGACCAACAAGATAGCTCTTCTTGAACATGAGGCGTCCAGTTCAATAGCCCCCAAATGGGTCACACCAATGATGCTGTGATATTCATAGTAATAACATGCTTTCCCATATTGGAGAGCTTAATTTCAATAGACAAGGAATAGTGGTTACCAACAATAAAAACTCTCTTCAAACTGAAACCAATGGCAAAACATTTCAAACCCATCTTTAGCTGCAAAGCTGAAGAGGCCATCTGCACTAATTGTGTCTCAAACACCACCACAGTTTTGGCAATGCTAGCATTCTTGTCTAGCAGCAAGTTCTCAATTACCATCTCAAATCTGTGCCCCATTGCCACTTTCAGACAAAAGATTCTCCGTTACCCATAGTCCCATGCCTAACATTAATCAAATATTCATGACACACTTCTAAATGGACAGGAGATGCTATCTATATCACTTTCACACGGATACCATACCTGTGCCCTTTTGAAAGAGAAAGTAATCAATTGCTACACTCTGCAATTGCTTAGTATGGTCGACAGATAAGAAAGCCGTTCACTTCCATCCCAAGTAATCTGCATCCCACAGCACTGCTTTTGGACATCTTCTCAGCACCTAAAACAATCAGCAACACTTCACCACTAGGAAGAAGAATCAGAAGCAGCCTCCAAATTTTTACAGGGAAGTAAGTGCAGTTAAGAATCAGACTATATGCCACATGTCTTCCCAGGCCAGCGCCACACAAAGCACTTAAGAGTCAGTTATAAAAACCCAAACCCCATAAGAAGTACAAACACAGATTCAAGCAAAGATATCCAACCAGCTAAGCACTTCTCATTCCCACATGTCTTTCCTTCAGTAAGAGATGCATGATACGAAAGAGAAATCTGTTGAAGCATTATCAGTACCAAGCACAAAGAAAAGAAAGCATAAATCATATGACACAGAATAGTAACATTTAAAATGTGCAGCCATCGTTGCATATAACTAGAACTAATAATTAGAATAAGATGTTGGAATCTTCAACATCTGATCAGAAAGTTAGCTATCTCCTTGAATGTTGCAATACGAAGATGATGCCTGTTATAAGACAAGGAAATTAAACATAAAGCACAACAACTCAATTACCAAAGAGCAGTACTTGGGTGGATAGGGGAACGTTGATATTGAGCTAAAATATTATACCAAACTAGTTACCAAATACCTTGATCAAGATATAAAAAGAAAGGAAAGGGAAACATCAGATTTCAAATCTCTAAATAAGGGCAAGGAGTTTATAAAGCTAACTTTCAAAGATATTGGGAAGAATAGGCGTCTAAAGATTTAGCACAATGTTGATCCAGGGGTGTTTCAGCATCTTAGAAGGAATAATGTTTTAAGGTCTTATTTATGGAGCAACTATATAAAGAGTAGTAAGAATAAATCTTTCAGACTGGAAATTTCTAAACTCCTTGATCATAAGGCTACATGCCACAAATTACCATATAAACATTAGATGCTTCAGTTCTTGAATTACAAAAAGAGCCAGAAAGAGCTTAAGGAAAGGCTACTTTTTTAAAATTCAGGCCAACAATGAAGAAGAAATAATCAGTGGCGGCCAGTATTGCAGCAAAACTAATTCTGGGCAAGTCATACTACAAAGTTATCCAGCAAAGGTAAAAACTAATAGTCAGTTTAATGAGAGGGAGGGAGAGAACTCTGAAGCTGCAGAGCAAGACTAACAGTTATTGTGGGTAACTGAATTCGAGCCAAAGCTTTCATGATAAAGAAAGATGCATGAATTACAAGTACATACAAGTAAAGCAAGGACACAATCAACAAAAAGGATATTAAAGCTGATATTCACACCTTTTTTAGAATGGAAGAGTTAAGTGGTAATGGAAACAACCTCTGGAAAGTCATATATAGAACCAAGGAAGAGGATTTATGAAATCGCAAGCATTGGTAACAAAATCAATAGAGGGTCCATAAAGATTGAACCTTCTTCCGCTAAGAATCCTCTGTCCAATGAAATCCTCTCAAAAGCAAAGGTAACAAATCTAAATAGCTCAATCTGCCTTTTCAAAGCACATTAATATCTCAGTGTCAGTCCGTTTTCTTCTTTTTATAAGAGGAAAAAGTGGCAGGGAAAAAAGCACTCTAGGAGGAGATCAAAATTTGAAGGCAGCAATATCATGAGGGGGAATACCCTATAGTTAAATTCTCAAATCAAAGAGAAAGAGAACCAGTCAGAAAACTTACCATCTATTCCTGTGACTGCAAGTATCACGGTAGACAGAATACTCAATCCTCAACCAACATGTCTTATGCTTATGTACCAAACTTTCTAACCTACCCTCCCAAACAGGAAAATTTATTCAGAATAAACAGGCAGCAGAAAACAATAAAAATAATGAGAGGAAAGATCGAATTCAACTCTGAGAAATTCATGGAAGGAGATCCCAAGTACCTCCACATAATTAAACACTACAAGCATACAGTTACAACAACTACGAGCGCTGCAAACGAAAACCAAAAAACAAGGATCTTACTTCACTAAGTAGCCTTAACTTTATCATCCCCAACAACTGAGAGTATAGGCAAGCTACTCAAAAACTCATCAAGACCCTCAAAAAAGCCATTCCCTTCAATGTTATCCTCCTCCCCATATCCAGCATGATTCCCCTCACTCCGCCCTGGTGCCGGCTCATCCACTTCATTACTAAACTCCACATTCAAATCCAACTTCCCCAAATCTTTTGCCCCTCTTCCCATCTGCTTCCTCCCACTACTTCCTACTCCCCTTCTGCTCGACTCAGCAGTTGGCATACCATCTCGCACCATGGACGCACCACTCAAATTCCCACCGTGACTGACATTAACTTGCTCATTACTCTCCTTTTTCACTCTCTCACTCTGTGGTTTCTTAGCATTTTTCCCCACGGATCCTTTCCCTTTGGCATTCTTCGCCTTCTTCTTTCTCCTCTCATTCTGCCATTCATCATCATCATCATCATCCTCCTCCTCCTCAGAACTCACACTCGAATCAGATATCTCTACATATACATCATGCTCATCATAAAACACTCTCGGAGCAGACTTTTTGGCGGTCTTTTGTTTTTCAACATTCTTGTTGTTAGGGCATGCAAACATGGTCGAAATAGGTGACCAACTGGGAAAATTACCGTCCATATTCTTTCCATTCCCCGAAAATCCTAATGGGAAAATCCCCCAACAGCAGAAATACGTGTCCTTTCCGGTCACCGGCGGTGATGGTATCACAACTGCGTGGAATGCTCTCCTGCAAGTCTTAGTCTGACACCTCAAAGTACAATCCTCATATGCCTTCGGGTACTCATAGAGAACGTAACAGTACGGACAGGCGGTCCAGAAAGTCGGTCCCTCGTTCTCAGAAGCTTGACTAGGGCAAGTCGAATCAGTCTTCCGAGCCCCACCAGTTGACTCTGTCCGACTATGCTCCGTAGAAGGAGTTGCTGTCCGATTAATCATACCCGCCCGAGTCGGCTCAGTCCCATTAAACTGACTGGAGCTAGCAGTTCCTGTCTGGTTAATCTGGCTCGTCCGTGTAGGCTCGGGCCGACTAATCTGGCTCGAACCAACTGATCCTGTCAGATTAATCTGACCCGGTCCTGTTAAACCTATCTGATTAATCTGCCTCGTCCAAGTTGATTCAGCCTGCCGAGTGGAATCCTCCTGATTATTATTTAAACCCAACTGCCCTCCTCCTTCTAATGCAGCATTTTCGTCTTTACTATTATTTTTTCTAGGGCTTCTCCTCACATATAGCGGTTGCGTAATTTGCGCTGGCGCATCTCTCTGCGGCATTTGCATAAATAGCGTTTGCGTCTCTTTCGGCGGTGGAGGCGGCGGTGGTTGCATAAACAGCGCCTGAGTTTGCGGTTGCTGAAGATGCGGTTGTTGTTGACTGATTTGACTCACATGACCAAGCTGAAGGAACCTCAACTCGTTATCATAAAGGGTCTTTTTAGAAGGGTTCGACAACACATTCCAAGCTTCAGAAACGACTCGAAACGCCTGATCCGCGAAAGAGAGCCTGTTCTTCCCAGGATTTAATAGGAGAGCGAGTTTCCTGTACTGACTCGCCACCACTTCCATGGACTGAGTTAAGGGAACGAGTTGGAGGATCCCGTACCAGTCTTGAGGGTTGGCTTGGGCGGTTAAGAGAGTGTCGGTTACGGCGAGGATTTGGTCCGCGAGGACAGGGGCCGATTCTCGAGCTCGGATCGCGAAGGTTCTGGTCCCCTGCAAATCACGCGACGCCAGTAGTTTCTCCGCTATGCTTAGCCACCGCTCGGCCTCGGTCGTGCCATCGTCCATTTTCTCCTAACGTTTCTCTCTCTAGGATTTCGTTTCTCTCTCTTGCTGTTTTGTTTTGCGGGAACTGTATGTTTGGTGACAGGAAGACCAGACAAAAGCGGCACCCGTGTCTTGTTTTCAGGAGTGGACGAGGGAGGACAGGTGTTTTGGACAAACGACAGGGAGGTTTCCGTTGGTTCGGACGGGATAAGATTGGCATTGTGTGGGTATTACTGTCAATTGAGCTTCACTGTTTTAAACAGTGCAAGACAGAGGCAAAAACAAAAAGATGGCAAGCTTTGCCGGGTAAGGGTGTTTCGGTCATTACATGAATATTGGGGGCATAGACAGTTTCTTAACATGTGAAAAATGAGGAGGCCTGGTTGAGTTGTGGTCCAATTTTAATCTGAACGTGCGCCAAACAATTGAAGGGGAAGGGGAAGGGGCAGGGGTTCTCATTTTTGGTCATCTGGTTGGTTTTGTTTAATTTCATCGTCTAGCAAGTAGCAACTATAAATGAGAAATATAAAACTAAATTGGGTTTGCAATCCCTATTTTCCCTGTTCAGAGTCTGACCTGACTGAAAGGACTAGTAATTTTGTAGGAATTGTAATTTTGTGCAAGTTGATATTGTTGTTTTTTTCACGTTTATCATGAAATTAATTGAGAAGAGTATGTAATTTGACTTTTAAATAAAATAAAAAGGATTTGATCCCTTTCTTTTTAATTTTAAAAAATCACTTTTTAATCATTCATATTTTTAAAAATTAATATTTTATGCATTCGATTCCTAAAATCTAGTAACTTGTTCGTTTTATAATGTGATAAAAAAATTAATTATGAAAAGTCAACTTGTTTTTATCATGTTCTTCGTTGTCCTTTACGTTCGATGCAAAAACATTCCATGCCTATCTTGAAAATAAAATGTAAGAAACATACAAGATATACCACGCTCATTCACAAATGACAGTGCTGGAGACCGATTCCAAACCTATCTAGCCTTTTAAATATATATATATATATATATATATATATATTGCTTTGGGGCTGCATTTTATTCCTAATCTGTGAAGTTGTGCCACCACTTCTTACAATTGATCGAACTACTAAAAGACAGTTAGCCTATGATGCTCATTTGCTTATAATTATTAATCTCTGGTTTTCTAATCCAATTTCCTTCTTTCACAAAAAGATAGATTAAAGACAACATATAGGTTTTTTTTGGTGTCGGATCTTTTTCTTTTAGCAGTAAAAATATTCATTATCCATCCAGAAGCAAAAGAACAAACTTAACACAGTTCTGCAACAGGTAACCAAACGATCATGATCAATCATTAACATGCTATTATAGTACTCTCAAAAACACAAAAAAATAAAAAGTCATTGACATATTTGTGCAAATGCATTTGCTGGAGTTGGCTGGATATATACAATGTAAAATCAATCATAACATAAAACTTCATAATTGGTTATGCCAAATATAAAACCACAAAAATTGTAGAATTAATCATGGAAAACCCAAATAAAAAAGACCATAATGAAAGTTGTTTGCTTTACATTGTCACCCTCTTTTAATTTTTTTTTAAGAAAAATATTACCACCTTCTTTTGCGCTATATATTATGTATGTATGTATGTATGTAAGCACGATAAGACTTAATATTAGTGGAGAAGTTGATGCAAATGAAGCCATCGGAGATAACAAAGAAAAGAATGTTGATGATTACAAGCATCATCATTATTCAATGTTTGAAAAGGTTATGCACATCTATTTTTTATGTGTTTTTTTATTTGGTTATTGATATAAATGTATAAAATTGGGGTTGAGATTATATTGTTAAATTTGATTAATCTTACTTATTAATTTCAAAATATGTTAATTTGTATTTTTCTTTCGCTGGCGAATCTCGTAAATATATGATTTTGTATACCTAAAATAGAAATTTATTGTAATTGTGAAATGGGTATACCCACTCCCTAACTCCACCTTGGACAGGAGATGAAAGCAATGATTATTCCAAATAAAAAAAAAATGAAAAGAGAAGGAGAGGTGTATTTCTACTGTTATGGGTTTAAGATGTGTTTACCTTCGAAATTGTTTTTTGTTATAGTACCTAAAAATATATACTATGCATAAAATGGTTAACAATCAATTAATTTCTTGATTAAACCATAATAATTATATTGAAAAAGACACGTTTTTTTCTTTTTCTAGAAAAAGAGAAAGATATGTTATGGACTTTATCTTATGAATTTAATTACAACCATAAAATCATGTGCATTTTTTATGAAATAAATTATATATTTAATTCTCTAAAATTTTCTAAACAAATATCACATAAAGACTAAAAAAAATCTATATATATATATATAACTATTTTTAGGAGATAATTTGTTGGTTTGTGTTGTTGCATGCCGTGTCACTCTTTAATTTGTCATCGGAGAATTAAAATGTGGCAAGTACCACGTGTGCGAAGCGAAGAGGAAGAGTAGAGATAGGAATAGTGGGTTGTTGCGGTAGGAAAAGAGGACCAGAGTGTAATTAAGAAGCTGAAGCCTTAGAGAGTGAAAAGACACGAGTGGTACGAGAGTACAAATGAGTCATAATTTCTGACCAGTACCAGCATGGTCATCTGTACGGAAAAGCGAAACTCCACCATATAAATAAATATGATAATTAATAAAATAAATAAATATCTACAGGCCTTTTCCACCAACGCTGCCACGTTTGATCCACTTAATAAAATAATTGTCTTTTTTTTTTTTCCTTTTTCATCGCCCAAATTTTGCAAAAGGCCCCCTCCTTGTTTGGGACATAAAAAGGAATCTTTCAATATCTTCCCTTGTGCTCTTTCTTTCCATTTTTTCTCTCTCTGAAAACAATTGGTGGCTTTGTATCTGGTTCTTTGTGAGGTGTCACCAGCACTAAGAGGACAACAAAAGAGAAATTCAAATAACAAAAACAAAAGCAGCTGAACATGAGTAAACCATAAGCCCTGACGAGTCCCCCCCACTTTGTTCCATTTTCCCTACTCTATGAGCTGGGATTGGCAGGGTTTTTTTTTTTTTTCTGGGGTTATATTCTTCATTCCTTTCGTTTTTCTCTTTTGCAACTATATGCTTCTCCTTTCTATCTCTTTTCCCATCTAGGGTTGGTTTTAATGGTTCCTGATGTCCTTTTTCTTTTGTCTTATTTATGTATAAAGTCTCTGATTATGCTGGCTTAATTTGGAAAAAAACACTGCAGCTAACTTCTTTTTCCTCCTCTTTCTTATCTGTTACTATTGCTATTTATGTCCCAGATTCTCTTCCACGTTTGCCATATATATGCAGAGACATTTTCTCAGTGCTTACACTTGCTTCTCTGTTGTGTTTTGCTTGATTTGAGGTAAGAATTACTTTTTTTTGTTGTTGCTTTGTACGGTTTGATTTCTTGTGACTAAACGCCCCTTTTTGTTTTGTGTTTGTGTGCTCCGTACTTTCTTTTGTTGCTGCTCCTGGAAGATTGTAGGAGTTTTGCTTCTTTCCTTTGGCTGACAACGCTTGATTTCTCAATGTGTCTTGCCTCTCCTTCTCTTTCTCTAGATATACATATACTTGTCTGTGTATCGCTTACCCAGGAGATGGCATTCCATTTTTTATCAGCTAGATGTTCAATCGGATTCTGATGTTTTGATCAAATTTTTAGTCTTCCTTGCCATCAATCCCATCTTCATTTCCCCTTTATATGTCCCTTTGAAAACCCTCCTGATCCCTCTCTTTCCGGAGAAGTGTTTCTAATTTGATTCTTCCCCTAGAGTACCGTTGTCCTTGTTTCCTTGATACTTTGGTTTGATTTTCTTTGAAGGGTCAGATATAAATTTTTCGTGGAAGGCAATGACGAGACAGAAAATTCAGATCAAGAAGATTGACAACACCGCGGCGAGGCAGGTGACTTTCTCTAAAAGGAGGAGAGGACTTTTCAAGAAAGCTCATGAGCTTTCCACCCTTTGTGATGCTGAGATAGCTCTGGTAGTCTTCTCAGCGACTGGAAAGCTCTTTGAATACTCCAGTACAAGGTTGCTTTCCCTTTCTTACTTCTCTCATGTTTATGCTTTGCCTTGAATCTTGCTCTATCTGTGATATTGGTTTCATATAGAAATTCCTGCCTGCTCGTAAATTAATGAGTGTGGGTGAGTGTGAGAGGAGGAGAGAAGTTGCTTTTAAGAAGATCTTTCGAATCACGAGAACTCAATAAAGTATCAACTCATAATGACTGCATGTACTAGAATCTTATATTTCTATTCGAAAGTTTTTCGAAAAAATATATATATATTTCTATTCGAAAGAACTGCTTCTTTTGATTCGTGTCAGGAGCTTGGGGGTGTCAGGGTGGGAGGCTATATGGTTTCACGTGAAAATCTGATGTTTATTGTTGATGCTATTAATTTCGTACTTTGCAGAATCTTGTTGACCCATATTTTATGACTGATCAGGTATCTAGTTAGATTATGTTTTTTTTAATCTTTGCTAATGCAACTAGAATATACTAACACTTTGTTAAGCTGCAAGCTAATTGTACTTTACCTTCACTATGAAATCCCATGATTCAAATCTTCCTAACAATGTTCATTAACACCTTAATTTCTTAAGATATGCTCATAAAATATAGGGCTCCGATATATCCTTCCTAATGACCAACTCTATATGAAAATCGGCAACATTATTAGAAGAAAACATTAGTTCAAAGGCACATGTATACAAAAACAATGAGGTTTGATCTGAGAGACAACAAATGGGAAATGTGAACTTGCAGTCTTGGAAACAGCAAATACACACTACACACACACACACACATATGCATTTATCAAAGTATCTTGTTAACTAGTGTGCTAAGTGCAATTATTAAGATTTCTAATTACTATTAAGAGAGAAATCTTATTTAATTAATGTATTTATTAGGAACAGTTGTAAATTATCATGTTAATATGAATATATAGTGGTTATATATATGCATACATATAGTAGTTTAAACTGTAGAGAAGTTGGAGTACTCTAAAAGTTTTTTGATTTGTAATAATCTAGTCTATGTTCTTGATTTTGATATTGTCCTACCTAATTGGAAAATGCCCAAATCTTTTCTATTTTATGTAATCTACAATGTTAAATAATTAGATCATATATATCACCACAACAAATACATGCAAATTAGCCTGTGTACATAAGCACTATTTTTTTGCTCCCTATCATCTCCCCTTTTACCTCTCAAGAGAAGTACTCGCCAGCAGCAAAGATTTCTGTTGGGTGCAACGATTGATGTGGTCTTTAGAGTAAAACTTTAGGTTACATGGAGATAATCCTAAAATTCGTATGGATAAAGCAAATTACTAGCTTAGCTTTCTAGAGAGACCGTATGATTGGTGTTTGTGCTTTCTTTTTATGTCTTTCTTTTCATATTTCTGCAAAGAAAGTGCCCCTTGAAAATGAACATCAGCTAAACTAAGTTTTCAAATAAACTACAATCCTTAACTAAACAAGAAGAGACAGACGAATCTTAAAACACATAATAAGAAAGAACAAGCCTGAACTCAAATTCATCATGTTAGTAATCTCTTCTTTATTTTAGGTGCAGAAGACTAATCTATTTCTATCTCTTCTTTTGTTTTAATGGTGTTGTTATTTATTCTTGCCTTTTTCTAGAAGGTGAGTAATTTACAGACTACAGTAGTGCAGTCAGATGCTAGATCAATCAATCAAAAAATATATTGCTATCCTCACCCATAATGGAGAAGAATTTGATTGTAGCACGAATATGAAGACTTGACATTTTGCATCTTATGTTAAATTACTTTGCCTTTGACCGTTTGGTCAATATAATCTAAATTTACAAATAGAATAATGGGAACATGACATCTTAATGGGAGGATCAGTAAAGATATATGAAGGTAACATAGAACATATATAATCAAGGCAAATGGATGTCACAAAAATGGAACCTAGGAAATATTAGGATGTATATCACCCCTAGTAATTGTACAATCTTATAATTCCAAAAATAAATCTATTAAAAAATTGTCTATTGTTGTAAATTCTTGTTAATTTACAAATGTGGGTCCATGTTAATTACTCCATCTGAGTTTCTCAAGGATATGGATACTCAGGCTCTAAGGATTATCTGATGCTATCCCTTGGTACCTCCTTAACTTAATTTCTTCTTCATTCATCAAAAAGAAACAATATGTAAATATTGTAGAATAATTGTCATGGAAAAGAAATTAGGGAGATGTTATTCTGATCATCTTTTCTTGAACAAGAAGGAAAATTTTATTAGGATGAAATCTCCTTTGTAGCTAAAGTGGCTACCAATTATAAGCCTCTTGTAAGATAAGTATATATATATATATATATATTGAATCATGCCTTAATTTAGTAAAGAACCAAGAGGATACTAGCAAAAGCATAGGACAAAAGCTCTTCTGCAAATAAATTAAATTAAATATTGAAAGTAACTTGAAGGTTCTAAGAGTATAAGGTATGTTTTTTTTTTAAATGTGTGAATATTGAAATTATAATTACATTGAATCAGAGACATGAGATGAGAAAATGTCTCCAGAAAATGACACTGAGTATTTTCTTTCAGTGATTTTGCATCAACACTAATGGAGCTCGACAATGAACTATGCACATAAACTAAAATCGCATTAGTGAATCATTTTTCATATTTATCTGTGAACTAAGATCAAGGGTGAATTTGGTAAATTGGTTCAATGAAAGTATACTTATTAAAGAGCAATTATGCTAAATTTTATAAAAATGTAAAGATAATAAACTGAAACAAACTTTATTAAGGAGAAAATTTTCATTTACACTACTTTATATGAAATTTTTTAGTGGCATATAGAAAAGGCTTACATATTAAGCATATATATATATATATATATATTCAAGTTGTATGAATTCAATTCAGTTATCAATTTAATCATTGTTGTTTTCTTTAGAAACAAAATGCAAGGAGAAAAAAAATAAAAGAAAAAAATAGATACAAGAACAAAAGTGAGGAATTACAAAAAAAAAAAAACTACATAAGCTTTACGTAGAGGTTAAGATCCTAAATTTGAGTCACATGATATATAGAGCATCAACTTATTTATATCATAAATAAATAATTTGAAGAAATCACCAAGCATGTAGTCATGTTCTGAAAACATGTTAGAAACCAAATGAAATTGCTTCATATGCTTAGGTTCTTAGAACATTGGTGAAGTAATGCACACTGGACCAACTAAAACAACTCTTTACAGATTTTAAGTGAAATTATGTCTCATGTGTGAATCCCAAACAGCAAGACATTGCCAATTAAATGGCCAGCCAAAATAAAACTATAAAATGGGACATGGATAAAACATAATTCAATCTCATGGAATAACTCTAAAACATTCACACTATGAAACATAATGGGGCCATGCATAGTAGAGACTTTTATGTTAGCTAGAACCCTAAGTTAAGAATTGATATAGTTATAAATCAACAGGGGTAATTACTTTTTGGAATTTCTAGTAGTGTATTAAAACAGGTTAAAGTAATTTTTAAAATGTCTAGCTTGAGCCAACCTTCCTCCAAAGAAAGGGGAAAGAAAAGAATAGGGATTTGGCTGCACGGTATTGGAATGAAATTGAGACTATTCAAATTAGAAGTAGATAGGTGATTCTCAGCCTTTTTTAAGGTTACTTAATGCTAAACAGATATACAGAATGCAAATTTCTGTATAAGCATGATCAACAAAAGCTTTAGCTATCTTCCAATCAAAAACATTAGTTAATTCACTTCCAAAGTATCCCTCATGCCTTGCCAATATATGCAACCATCCACTTGTCTCTTACTCATAAGGGCAGTCTTCTTTTACCACTGGAATTTAGTTTTATTTGCTCCTGCACCCAGCCTACTTTTCATACTTAGCTGTAATCATCTTAGTTTTCTTTTTATTCAATTGGGTTGGGAAAATTAAAGATTTTAGGATTGTGCCCTTTAAGGTTGATCAATAGCTTCATGTTGCAGGAGATTGATATAAACTTTTCTGGGTCTATAAACTCCAAAAACTTTAGTTATTATAGATGTTAACTTTAAGTGTAATAAATTACACTTGACCAAGATTCATCATAGTAGAAATTTAAAACACAAAAACATATTTCATTCTTAATCCATGATTGGACAATGGAAACATTATTAGTCGATTTAGTTACGAAGATTAATTAAGTGCACTATCATCTTCTTTCTCTTTCATCTACAACTCTCCGATAGGTGAGATTATTAATTTTTTTTTTTGTAGACAAGAGAAAATACTTGATCTTACATTTATATAGTGAATTTCTAATCCCAACCATCATAAGATTTAGAATTTTTTACATAGACTCGTATTATTAGCCTATGCCTTCAGTCTTCTGCAATGGGGTTTTGTATTTTTCTGTATAGTAACATATAGTAGGTTGGGTAGCGTTTCTGTTTGCTTTGCATGATCCAAACCAGGTTGTAAGTAACTGTTTTGGTCAATTTTGAGTTGATACTTAAGGGTTGAATTCTGCTGTGATAAGTCTTTGATTATGTTAAAGACAAAGCCTTTTGGCAACACTATGTAGCTCAAATTGATGAAATATAATTTCTGCCTTTCAAAAATAAAATATTAGAGCCTAGCCCACTTTATCAAGGTTACGTTATGGATTATAATATTATCTCTTTTTAGAGACCAAATTAACTTAATGTAATAATAATAAAAGAAAAAATTAAATTAAATAATATAAATTCACACTTTAATTATTCAAGAAAATCTAACAATCTCCCACGTTTATTACATTATTTAAATTCAAAAATTGAAAAAATAGATTTTCTTGCGAACAATCATAGGTCAAGACAATTGAAACCTTTATAGGTCCAATTTAAAAACAAATTGATCTTGAAGCTAGTCCAAACCTCATTTTGTCTCATACAATTTTGTGATATAAAAAAATAGTAGTAATTACATCTACAAAGATATAGTAGCTACAATAATCACGTATATCACTCAATTTGATCCATATGAACTCCA